CAGATAGCAATGTGAGTCAGTGTCAATCTGTCGCCTAACCTGCTAAAGTGCATCTGAAAGCAGGATTTTAGCGCTCACACACGACCCCTTATAATTTTAGGATTTTTAGCACGGCATGCATCTAAAACTGCTTTCACACCAGAAGTGAGAGCTACCCTAACCGTACATGTAGATCTCTCACTACAGTACAACTCATCAACCACGTACACGTAGATCTCTCACTACAGTAGGGAGGTTCTGCTATACGTGAAACGTAGAGAAATCACGTAGAGAGCAGGTGTCTGGGTTAGAGTCTACGGCTTCGCGTGTTTTGGCTCCAGATTTCTACGCGGAGATGGGGTTCTCTACGTTGTGGCACACGCAGAGAAAATGCGTACGGATTTGCTGGGTATCGATCAACTGCATGCAGAAAACTGCCAAATATGGAAGGGGAAATTCCCAGTACACATTCCACGTGACTTCTCTAGGTGAAACGTAGAGCAGAACAGCATTTCTTTACGTTACGGGAACGCGAAGAAAGTTCGCGTGATTCTTTGCGTCGCGTTCCCAACACGTAGAGCAGAACCTCCCTAGTACAACTCATCAACCACGTACACGTAGATCTCTCACTACAGTACAACTCATCAACCACGTAGGTACACGTACATGTACATGTAGATAGCTACTAGTACTCGCAACTTACACTGCGTTTTTCTTTCTTTTTTTTCTGGCCTCTTCTACGGGCAAAGTAACACAATGGTTTAAATTGCAATAAATCATACACTGGAGAAGAAATCAGAAAAATGCAAGTGTAAAATAAAGAATTTCTAACTCAAACAAAAAAAAAACTTCAAATCAAATCAAATTCACACCGGACCTCGCGCTATTTCGCCGACTTTACTTGACACTTGATTGACTGACGACTGCCATCCAGAGCACACGAGAAGTCCATCGAACCTTCGACTCGGCAGACCTGCAAGAAAGCACCACTCCCTGCTCAATACACAGTGTTTCGGGGAATTAACCCCTCATCAGTTGAGCTTCAGTAGGCTGAGGAAGATTGTGCCTGAAGAGCACCACTTATATAGTGCTCTCCACGGACAAACATCACCAGGGATACAAACTTACAGAGACGCTCCGTTTCCAGCGCGACAAGTCAAGTGTCAAGTAAAGTCGGTAGAATAGCGCGAGCTCCGGTGTGGGGAGCTAACCCTTTCTTACAAATCATCGCCGAAGTCGCAACCACTACTTCGTACCAATAACTTCATCAAGAAAAATCCAAGAAAAATCAAAAAACAAAAAATCAAACAAAAAACTTGATAAACAAATAAACACAGTATAGAAGATCAGAAAATTACGTAACTGGGCGAGACTCAGCCACCACGACGGAACTATCCAAAAAACGACGAGCATCTCGGTCCAAGGATACAAAGAATACTGGATCTCAGTAAGGAGAAAGAGAGACGGGCACGCAGCAGACTCATGACAACAGAGTATTCGCTACTAGAAGACTCACAGTAGAGAGGTTGTGCATAACAAAAAATCGTAACTTAGACGTAGTCTGGGCACGAGTAACGAAAAAGGAAAGGAACTTTCGCGAGGAGGACTGCGAAACTTGAAGATCTTACGTTTTGAACTTTCGCTTTTTTCTCGCAAGCTTCTGTATACATGTACATGTAGCTGTGTTGATACACGTGGTGTCAAGATTTTTTCGCCATGACCTTTTCAAGCCGTTCTGCGAGCTCTTCCTACTCGGCATCCTGTGGAGCTGATGGATCTCTTTCCCGCTCTCTCAGCGATCCTCTGTCACCTGGACAGCGCTCGGCTAGTTCTGTCAGTTCTGTCAGATCTGGAAGTCCTGTCAGTGCTCGCCCTGTGACAAATTATTCTGCTGAATCCCCGCGGCAGAAATCTGCCACTTCGGTGTCTTCGTCTTCCCCCGCGACGTCTCAGCGAAGGACATTTGATCTCGCGATGGACTTGGCCCTTCTCAGGCAGCTTCCTTCTCACGACCAACGTTTCGACGAGGGTCTCCAACCATGGAGATCGTTGCCTGTGAGCTGGAAAACTTGAGCCCAAATCAGTTCGGTGGTGTGACGAAGAAAGCTATTCGGGACAGAGTGATGAAGCTGCTGGAGCTGTTCGCGCAAACAGGGGAAAAAGTACTCGAAAGGGTCACCATGGTCACACTACGTTTTTCGTTGAGCACAACAGATTTTTTTTACGAATTTTCGTCACTTCCAGACGGCTCAAATTCCGAAAGATCTTTACGAATTTTCATTGTGCACAACCTCTCTAGTGTACGCGACAAGAACGTTTAAATAACCAGTGCACAACTGACTACAACCACCATGAGTACGGAACACTAGAGCAGTAGAGGGGTGAACGAACCACGCTCTACATTGCTTACACTGCGTTCCTTTTTCATACATTCTATATAAGGCTACTGTATAAGTACAATTTTCGTTTGGAATTTACTTTCGCTATATTCGTTAAGCGCCACGAAATAACTAAAGTTCTTTTTCTGAACGTTACGGATGACAGACCTCGACGAAAATCAAAATTTAGTATGTAACAAACCTGCTGGTGGAGTGATCTAACGAAAGATTTCCTGAACGAAAATGTATACTTATAACTGTCACTCTCCTTCGCCTGCCAAAAACACAATACTGCCAAAAATACAATACTGCCAAAATTACAATACTGCCAAAAATACAATATTGCCAAAAATACAATACTGCCAAAAATACAATACTTCTGCAGTAATCAAAATACCGGAGACGTCGAAGAGCAGTTATTGGAAGCTAAACTGTGAAAGAAAAGGAGTAGCCTCAGTCAGCATGATCAAAACGCGACGCAGCTCACCAGATCAAGGTGTTGGTCCTCTTCACTCCGTAGAGAGCCGAAAGACGGGCTCACGCCCCTACATGGCTACTTCCCCTTGTCTAACCCCCAACACGATTATGATAGTAGCCGGCTGGCCGAAATTTAGAAACGGAAAACGTTGCGAGCGTCTCAGAACTCCCTGACTACAATATACATGTACATGCATGATGATGATGATGTGTTGTGTAGAGTGCTGCTGTGGATGCCGCCAGCCTTTTTACGCATTTGCCTTTGACCTTGAACTGGCTGTAGCTACTGCATGTAAAAAAACCGATCTCATCTCCTCTGCCCTGCCTTGCGTCTACTACTAGTACGATCTAGCCCGGCTGTGTACCACGTGACGTGTACGTGGGTGAACAGACAGGCCAGTGAACAGACAGGTAGGTTCATAAGACATAATCATTTTAGTACAGGCGACATCGCTCACTAGCACTGTTGCATGTGATGACACTTGAACAGCTAGTCCGCCTCTGCTCTGGCGACACAGACAGTCGGCTTCATTTCGGAGTTGGTGTGGGAGCATCAGCAGAAAGATCGGCCCGCAATGATTATGTAGACCTACATCTGGATGTACACGAGTAGCACTGTACTTTTGTAGTGTGGAGCAGGCAGTAGAATCTGATGTCATGTTGTACAGTCATGTACATAATCTACGCGTAAATCTACAACTTTTGCCAGATCAGACAGATGAATGAAGCCACAGAGCTCTGGCCGCTGGAGCGTGCAGCGAACGACATAGGGTGTTGGACTGCTAGCTGCACCGTCCGTTCTCCAGCTCAGGATATCATTTTCTCTGCCCTGCCTTGCGTCTACTACGACCTAGCCCGGCTGTGTACCACGTGACGTGTAAGTGTGTGAACAGACAAGCCTAGCGTCTACATAAGTATCTAATATTGAGTGAGTGCGAGGTCAATGTATGAAAAAAGCCGAGTAAAAGACCGAGGCGAAGTCGAGGTCTTTTACATGGTCTTTTATTTCCTGTACTGATCAAGTATGAAATCAATAGTGAGGTTTTGCATTCCGAATTTCGGCTCGGCGTTCTTCGGTCATTTGGCGGACGTCAAAATGTCGAATTTTCGCACCAACGTTTGTTTTGCAAGTCGAAAATGATGTGTTTTAATTTCGTGAGCCCCAGCATCAGCAACGTCCTGTCCCGTTCTCCTTTCCTTGCTGATTCCGAAGAACTTTGATCGCCCAAAGACTCGAGAGCCAAACCCGCCTCAGTCGCCTCAGAAAAACCAACTCCATGGCCAAATCAAATTTTATGCGTATTGCCATAGTCTTTTCAGCCATACAGATGACGGTGAGGACACTCCAGGCGAAAGAGAGTAGGCAGGCAGTGGAGAGGAGCAATCAGAGGTACCTGACGATGCTGATGTCACCAAAGACGCCTGCGAAGCCATGCCGAGATAAGAAACCTCTTTGAATAAATCAATCGCTAGCGCTCTTCTACAAGAAAATTCATCCGAAAAATATGTTCGGCCAAGTGAGCTTTTTCCGAACAAACATGCCGAATCTTCGTGTGCATTTTCGACCTCGCTCCCGCGTGCCGAATCTTTTTGCCGAATTTTGGAATGCAAAACCTCACTAATATTAGATATATCACGACTGACCAAAGCATGTGTTCAATTGCTAAAAAGGAGTCAAATATAAGGGGTCAATATAGCCATAAGGAGTGAAATATGCAGGAATATTTGACTGCTTAGGTATGGCAAAATCTATGTGAGTCAATACTAAGGGAGTGATAATCAGAATTCCACTGTACACTGTACACTGTACAGGCGACTCCGCTCACTGACAGTCTGTTGCATGTGATGACACTTGAACAGCTAGTCCGCCTCTGGCGACACAGTCGACAGTCGGCTTCATTTCGGAGTTGACGTGGTATCAGCCTAGAGATGGGCCCGCAATGATTTTAGACCTACTCGTAGATCTACTAGTACGTCGTGTTGATGTACACGAGTAGCACTGTACTTTTGTAGTGTGGAGCAGGCAGTAGAATCTGATGTCATGTTGTACAGTCATGTACATAATCTACGCGTAAATCTACAACTAACGTGTTACTTTTGCCAGATCAGACAGATGAATGAAGCCACAGAGCTCTGGCCGCTGGAGCGTGCAGCGAACGTGTAGAGAGGATCTTGGACTGCTGCACCGTCCGTGCTTCAGTTGAATGCGGAATCGTTTTTTGTTGCTCGTTGCCGTCTGTGGGTGTTCTGGGCGGATGAGTGTTCTGCTTGCGGCCCTTCATATTGTTATTTTCTGGAAGTTTGAGTGACGCTCCGTCGCAATCTGGTTGCGGAAGTGAAGCGCTTTCGTTCGTCAGGTGGCGTTTAGATTTGTGGGACTACCAATCGTCCGGGTCAACGTTACCAGAATAGCAGACGCCGGACAGGAACCACCCGGCCGTTATCGGGAGCAGGTGCTTCTCCCTGGCTTGAAGTCAGGTAAGGTTCTCCCATTCAGTCCCCAACATTTCACTGAATGTCTGCGCTGAGTTCTAGTAGTAGGGATATCACCGTATTTTTTTCTTTCGTAGTAAACCAAGAAAACTGTTTGTTTTCGGGAAGAACTATAGTACAGGAGATAGCACAGAAAATTTGGATGAAAAATCTTGAAGGATACCATAGATATGAGGCGTCAAAGTCATACGCCAACCTTCATCATGATGTATGCGGAATGCCATACTACTGTGGCACCAACAGGGTTTTCCGGAAAGCCTAGCAAATGCTTAGCAACATTACAATATTGTCAGAATGCTATGAAATCTGGCTTGTAGGTGCAATATAGGTGTAATATAGGTGCAATACAGGTTGGTTAGTCCTAATATTGACCAAAATATAATATTTCGGCAAGCGATGACCAATGAGAACGAGCGCGGCGACCGTAGCAACCACCATAGCAACAATGCTAAATCCATTGAACACGAGTCCCATTACTATGAAATTGAAGTGAGCACTGATGGCTATGGTTGTATTATACATGTACAAATAATAAATACAGCAGTTTGGTCTTCAGATGCCCAACTTTACTGCGGCTGTCACACAGTTGATCAATCATGTACATGTACATTTTACATGTAAAATGCACAATAGTGAAATATGCGTACAATCCAATCACTGACGCGATCCATGTCAGAGCACCACTCCATAGCAATTTCTTTCTGGTTTCAAGGCGACGAGTCGAATACAAAATCATAGCTCACTTTGTCGCAATAGCGAAAGTCTCCGTCAGGTGCAATCTTTCACTAGGGCCAACAAATCATCTGAAACACTCCTAGCGCTTGAACATATTGGGTCCAGAAATTCATTCCTTTTGGGCGACCAGGAGGTGAAAGTCTTGAAAGCGCGATGAAGAGCGATCCCCCAGCTCGAGAAGAAAGCACTATTCTACATAATTCGAGGTCGCTGAACACGATGGTGGGTGTTTCCTGGCCGTGTACTCCCTCCAAACGGATGAAAAATCCAATTGAAAACTACACTCCTCACAACAAAAAGCTCAAACTACAGTTGCCCAAGCAAGTGCGGCACCAAAACGAGCAGGAAGACCTCAGCTATCAAACGCACCAACTTTCAACTTTGAAAAGAAAGCAGGACAAAGCAATTCGACAAAAACTGCAGCGAAGTCCATGGTGCCACCGCTACCATGCTAATGTACGTGACCCGCGTGAAGGCTGTTTTCAGCTGATTTGTCACGTGACTGAACTCCCTACTAGTAGTACAGCAGCCCTAACCCATAACCATGGTAACGATTTATTGGAAAAGGTTTCTGCTGATGTACAGTACTCCGTGTCGTGTGCTCACATTTGTCCGCATGCTATTGTATTGTTCGTAGTGAAGCGCAGCAACGGCAACTTAAACGAGAAGGTATTTCGGCTGCTGCAATATCCCCTCACTCTCAATCCGTGTGCTTTACAAGCAGAGAAAATTAGTCGATGAATAATTTCGTCAAATTCCAAAGGAAGGACTTCTTCCAATCGGAAACGGTGACCATTCAGCAGAAAAACAAAATTTCACATGTACATGGTTATGGCTCATGAGTGCACAATTAGTTACAGGGCTGCCACACTTGGAGGGAGAAAATCTGACGGGGTGCCGGGGTGTCCCCCGCTTGGGGGCAGGGGGCACGGCCCTCTTGGTGAAAATATTTAGGAAAATGGCTTGCTGTTGGGGCCCCAGAACACATTTGTAACTGTGCAGCACACGTGCTACAACCATGTCAATTATGAATAAATGGCCAACTGGACTAAAAAGCGCTCAAAATATAATAATCGGTTGTCCCTCTTTGCGGAACAAAATCGGTCGCTTTGTCGGACAGGCGATCAAAAATCGGAGTAAGTGGCAGCCCTAAGTTATATTCATTGCCATTTTACGACTATTGTCTCCTCGTAGGTTATTGAAATACTTTGATCCGATCTCTTTGTCATTTTAGGGGGAAATCCCTATCTGTGTGCTCTTTGACCAACTGAGCACATGATAATGACGTTGTTGGCTGAGGTTTGAATCGCCTCGAAAAGAGCTTTCTGTGATAGAGGAGAGTGGAATGGCATTGATGGTGGAATTTACTCGCATATTTGGCTTGGGGTGGACTTTGCTGTAATCCCGCGCCTGATTTGTGGCAGCTAGTTGATGGAGTCTGGTATGCTGGCGTTGCTCTCACCCGGAGCTTTCCAAAGAGCCTAAGATTGTGGAAATGCAGTGAAAGAGGTCAAAGTTGTAGCCTGTTGAAGGTGTAAAGTGTGCAGAAAATATAAATTCTGTTTCATTCTGTGCTGGAAATCAGTACATAAAGGGATATTTATTTATTTTTGCTTCGTTTTGTTTCCCTACCATGGCTGGCTGCCGCCCCTCCCTCCATATTGGCCTATATTCTCTGGCCACGGGAAGGTGAATAAATAACTGATGCAACATGCATGGTGTGCGACAATACCATACCAGTAAAGAAGCTGGTCAAATAGTGAAATAGGGCTTTCAACGCAAGGATCATAACGTGAAGCAAGTTGGTAGGATGAGTATGTATGCGAAGTGTATGGAAGGAATGCATGCAAGGAGAAAGTTCATGTTCCAATACCACGTTATGTGTGCGAACAATTGGAAAAATGAAGAAAAAAACCCGATAAGCTAGCACCACAGCATAATAATAATTACTCCGTAAAATGTACCTGACCTGTCAGTGTGTGTTCAGGATCAAACCCCGTGTTATGTATGAAAAAATGACAAAAATGAAAATCTAGCACCATACACCCTAACTACTCGATTCAGCCTCTGGGAAATCCAGATAAATAATAATTGGTTTACAAATCAATTGGCTGGAAAGCCCAGTGCCCTCCCTATGCTTTGCTTTCACCTAGGCCATCATGCTTCTTACTTCAGTTTCCTAATCATCAATTTCTATAAAACTGATAGAAACGTCTTTTCAATATGATTATCAAGTACATCTTCATGTATGTTTTTTGCGAAGACGTTTCTATTAGTTGCACAGAAAAAGAGGATTTCTTATGGTATGCAAGCTCCACTGCACAGCACAGCACTCCACAGCAAACGCGACGCAGCTCACCAGATCAAGGTGTGGGTCCTCTTCCGGTGCCGAAAGGCGGGCTCACACCCCTACATAGCTACTTCCCATTGTCTAACCCCCACCAAAAAAACATTGTTGGGCTTGGTGTGGGCTGTGCAGTATTTCCGTTGGTACCTGCTTGGTAGAAAATTTGAATTTGTTATATGCACAGCGACCATTCTCTGGAACATTTGGCTAACTTTCAACATCCACCGGCGATTGTGGCTCGCTGGCTGGAATTTTTGTCTGAATGTGAGTTCACCATATTGTACAGGGCAGGTCGATCACACGCTAACGCTGGCAACATCCCCACACCCCTCATCCGCCGTTTCAACTGGCCGTGGTCAAGATGGGAAACGGAACAGGAGAAGGACCGAGATCTCGCCCAAGTAGTGTCCTGGCTAGGTATGGACTCTCCGCCTTGCCCGCAGGACATGATGGGTAGCAGTCCTGAGGTACGTATTTTGTGGAAAAATCATGAAATGCTGGTTCATCATGAGGGGGTGTTGTGCTGTCGTTGGGAGGATCCCTGCCCCAGTAAGCCATCTATCTTGCAGGTCGTAGTTCCCCGACATTTACGTTCTTTGGTTGTGCAAGAGTATCATGACCAGGGGGGGGGGGGGGGCATACGGGTTCTACACGCCTGCAGAAGAAACTGACGCAACAATTTCACTGGGTAGGCATGAAGAAAGATGTCTTAGATTCGGTTGCAAGTTGTTCTTCCTGTAGCCAGTCGAAACGTCCCGTAGGCAGAGGGTCTGGCGCTCCACCACAGTCTTCCTGGACGGGGTATCCTTTTGAGCGAGTAGCAATGGATTTGATCCCCAATTTACCGGAGACAGCGGAAGGGAACCGCCATATTTTGGTTGTAATGGACTATTGATTCTGATCGGTTGCATACCGATCAGGGCAAAAACTTTGATGGCCCTTTGTTTCGCAGTGTTTGCTTTCTGCTTGGCATAGATAAGACCAGGACAACTACGTACCATCCACAGAGTGACGGTCTGCTTGAAAGATTCAACCAGACGCTTGAGCGTGGCCTGGCGCACTATGTCTGCAGGAATCATCGCGATTGGGCCATCAAGTTGCCAGCCTTCTTGATGGGATACCGCTCGTTGCCGCAGACTAGTACCGGCTACAGTCCAAGCTATCTACTCTTTGGTCAAGAGTTATGCCTACCTCAAGACTTGGCATCTGGATTACCGCCAGGAGCAGCATCCGCAGTATCGTCACAGCCGGAATTTGTGAGTGCTCTCCGCCGACGCCTGGAGGACGCTCATGCACAGGTCCGGGAACACCTGGGCAACGTGCACCGTTATCAAGCGCATATCCGTGATCGCTACGCTAAGGCCTTGACGTTTGCAGCAGGTTACGCAGTGTGGCTTCTGGTGTCAACTATACCGACGGGTACAACCGCCAAGTTTGCTAGACTTTGGGACGGACCGTACCTAGTCGAGGAGAAGCTCTCAGCCGTCACCTACCGCATCAAACTATCTGAGCCCACGGCACGTCGGCTGATAGTGCATGTCAACCGGCTGAAAAGTTGCCATCATCGACCGAGTCGGCTGCAGGAGGTTCACGAGCAAGATGAGTCGGACCCACCGCAGCCCATGGCATCCACCCTGACTCCGTCCTACCAGCCTGATGCCACTGATACCGCCGCCCGAGACGAGGGGGACACCGCTCGGGTATTTGGCAGTGCTCCGCCAGTTGGCGTGATGGAAAGGCGAACTCCGCGTTCCCGCCATCCGCCCCAGCTGTTTGGGAGTCCTGTGTGGCACGAGTAAGTGACTTCAGTGGTATTGACTGGATTTGTGGTGTTCGATATTACAGTTAGTCTTTGAACAGATTTTGATAAGAACTCCAATTTGACCTGCACTCGTTTAGTTTAATTGTTAGCCATAATCTTAGTCTAATTTATAACGTTACTTATAACACGAGGACGTGTTCTTTTCCGTGTAAGCGGGGGGATATGTCGTATCCATACTATTGACACGTGCCTTGTAGGCCTCTACGTGACAAGTCTGCCTTATTTAGGTGTCTAATTATTTATCTATCTCCCATAAACATAATCGTCTTTATTTTATGTCTTCACGCAAGGCCTGGGGCCTTCCTTATTTGGTATACGCTGTTATTTCCCCACCTAGCTCCCGCTCTTTATGCAACAGTTTGTACACATATTTACTACGGTTTGATACGCTATTGCATGCGGGACCAGCAATCTGGTGGCCATGGACTTCCATGGCCGCAGTTGGATAGTATTGCCATCACCTTCCTTTTCTCTCTATCTGTCTTGCCTTGTGCTCTTCATTATCTTCTCTTGAACTAAGTTACATGTACCCTGCTGTGAAGATGTGAGTAAACCTGAACGCTGCTCTGAGTGTACGTGTTTGTATAATTATGCCTGAGTGTGTGTGTGTGTAAGTATGTCTAGGTATATGTGTGTGCGTGCGTAAGAGTAATTCTGTTGGTGGGACTATCTCCAAGTGGCCACCACTGCACGGCCTTGTAATGTGAAGGTTTATTAGTAAGTTAGTTCATGTCGAAACGCAGCCGTGGGGGCCAACCCCGGGGGGGGGGGGGGGGGGGCGACCGGATACGACACATGTAGTAGCCGACTGGCCGAAATAAAAAAATGTGGCAAGCGGCTCAGGATGAATGAGTAAAATGTACTAGTACTTGCATGATGATGATGTGTTGTGTAGAGTGCTGCTGTGGATGCCGCCAGCCTTTTTACGCATTTGCCTTTGGCCTTCAACTGGCTATAGCTACTGCCTGTAAAAAAAAGGATCTCATTTCCTCTGCCCTGCCTTGCGTCTACTACGATCTAGCCCAGCTGTGTACCACGTGACGTGTAAGTGTGGGAACAGACAAGCCTAGCGTCTACATGCACTGTACAGGCGACATCGATCACTGTTGCATGTGATGACACTTGAACAGCTAGTCCGCCTCTGGCGACACAGTCGACAGTCGGCTTCATTTCGGAGTTGGCGTGGTATCAGCGGAAAGATGGGCCCGCAATGATTTTAGACCTACTCGTACATCTACTAGTACGTGTTGATGTGCACGAGTAGCACTGTACTTTTGTAGTGTGGAGCAGGCAGTAGAATCTGATGTCATGTTGTACAGTCATGTACATAATCTACGCGTAAATCTACAACTTTTGCCAGATCAGACAGATGAATGAAGCCACAGAGCTCTGGCCGCTGGAGCGTGCAGCGAACGTGTAGAGAGGATCTTGGACTGCTGCACCGTCCGCGCTTCAGTTCAATGCGGAATCGTTTTTTTCTTGCTCGTTGCCGTCTGTAGGTGTTCTGGGCGGATGCGTGTTCTGCTTGCGGCCCTTCATTATTGTTATTTTCTGGGAGTTTGAGTGACGCTCCGTCGCAATCCGGTTGCGGAAGTTCAGCGCTTTCGTTCGTTACCTGCCAATCGGCAGGTGGCGTTTAGATTTGTGGGACTACCTATCGTCCGGGTCAACGTTACCAGAATAGCAGACGCCGGACAAGAACCATCCGGCCGCTTTCGGGAGCAGGTGCTTCTCCCTGGCTTGAAGTCAGGTAAGATTCTCCCATTCAGTCCCCAACATTTCACTGAAGGTGTGCGCGGAGTTCTAGTAGTACAGCAGCCAGCCCTAACCCGTAACGATTTATTAGAAAAGGCTTCTGCTGATGTACAGTACTCCGTGTCGTGTGCTCACATTTGTCCGCATGGTATTGCATTGTTCATAGTGAAGCGCAGCAACGGCAATTCAAACGCGAAGGTATTTCGGCTGCTGCAATATCCACTCACTCTCAATCCTTGTGTTTTACAAACAGAGAAAATTAGTCGATGAATAATTTCGTCAAATTCCAAAGAAAGGACTTCTTTCAACCGGAAACGGTGACCATTCACGAGAAAAACAAAATTGATAGGAAAGTTTTTTTGAGCTGAAATTTTAGTGAAAAAGTTGTCAGCGCTTTCTAGGTTGTGCACAGTGCCATAGCTTAGATTGTTAGAGCTATGCTCATGACAAGCAAGGTCCCAGGTTCCAGTCCTGTTGGGGTTTGCATTTTGTTCTCTTTTCAGGGCAGTCCTAATCCCTGACAGATCACTTTGCTGGGGCGCCAACAGGTTCTAAAAAGTTGTATGACCGAAAGGAGGCGAAGAGGAAGAGGGGGTCTGGGGGACATGTCCCCCTTAAAAAATCTTATTATCAGGAGCGGGTTTTGTATTGCAAAGACGTTTCTATCAGTTTGAATAAAAAATATAGGTACTTCCGACTTGTCATTACAATTGTCGCTTCGCACATCGCAATGTTTGTGACTTGATTGTCTTAGTCAGGCTATCGAAATCACTGATTTCTGGGTTCGAACATTGGTATGACCCTTCCCACGCAATTGTTACGAAAGCCGTTGTGGTCTTGGAGCTCTATTCCGCATCAAACAAATTCTTCGCGTTCCGCAATATTTCGCCCAGAGTGCGAATCTTTTTTCTGTAGTTCATATCGGCCCACATTCCTTCCCACCGCTTTAGGAGCTGCATATGCGCCTTGATCCTTGAAGGGTTGGTGGCGTTCATGCGGATGCGGAAAACTCGGCCTCTAGCCGAGTCTGACGCAAACCGTGATTTTTTTGCAAACAAAGGGATACGAATCCTGGTATATCTCTTGAATTTGGCATGCTGAAGTTGAGTTTTGCAAGAACAAAGTGTTCTCAAATTCCTGAAATGCGCTACCTGTGGCGCATGTTGCTGCGAAGGTAGAAGGCCTGAAAACAGCAACAACATGAGCGCAGTGCTTGTCAAGGAAAGAAGGTGCTGAACTGCTAACCCTATCTCTCTGCTGCTGCTACTGCTGCTCATTATAATCTAGTGTAAAAATGCTAGTATGACGTCATCGCCTGACACCTGCAGGCATCCATTGCTTGAAAAGAAAGTTTCATGACCTGAATTTGAACAAGCTTCTTGTTCAGCGTTTTGTTGAGTACTGAAGGGTCCGCCTCAAATCCTGGTGAAGACGTCGACCCCAGCCGCAATTGCAGCAAAGCAGGAGGCCATAAACTAAATCTTAACCCTTTCCGTGCTAATGACGTCTATAGACGTCATGCGCGCTGTACGCCAAACGACTAATGACGTCTATGGACGTCATGAGATTTGCGCAGTATATCGCTGTGCATAGCTCAGTGTACAAACTTTCGTAACTCCGTCAAAAATAAGTCTATCGCGACAATCGATACACCGTTAGAAAGGCATTGAGCTCAGCTTTTCAGCAATAGAACGTTCTTCACGATAGGAAAAAGATTACTGGAGCGGCGACGGTGTGAACACAAAATTCACGGCACTGAGCGATCGTGAGTTTTTTTGTTCGTGCGTTCGCAGTTTTCTGTTGCGTGCCAGGGGATTTCCCTTTGGCACAGCGCATGCGTAATGGACACCAGCGGAAGCACGTGGATCTCAGGTTTGCAGCGCAGTTTGAATAGTGAAAATCGGCTGACCTGGAACAAGAAACCGAAAAAGAATGTGAGATCGAGTTGCTGTGCCTTTCCGAGGCATCGTGAAGTAGTTTCGACAGGACATAGAAGTTGCACCGCCATGCATATTGAGTTGAGAGCTACCAGGATCGATTTGCTTGGTCCTGATCTTTCCAACAAGCCCAGGATGATGAAAATCCATCCAGGTAAACTGAACTGAGAGAAAAATTCGTTCGGACCTGTGCGCGAAAACGACACCAGGAGAGTCAGTGCGCTGGAAAGTCAGTTTGCTGGAGTAAAAGGGGTCAGCACGGAAAGGGTTAAGCTGTATTCACAACTGGCGCGTGGACGCGGTACACTTGCGGTTCATGCGTGCCCAGATGCGCACTAAGCCTTTCACAAAAAACAGCAATCCGAGTCGTATTTAGCGTGTTTAGCGACACCTTCGAGTACCAATTTTTGGACCCCGCCAGTCAAAGTGACTGCTGGCATGTACGCTGGTACCCCGCCAGTCAGAGTGACTGCTGGCATGTACGCTGATACCCCGCCAGTCAGAGTGACTGCTGGCATGTACGCTGATACCCCGCCAGTCAGAGTGACTGCTGGCATGTACGCTGATACCCCGCCAGTCAGAGTGACTGCTGGCATGTACGCTGGTACCCCGCCAGTCAAAGTGACTGCTGGCATGTACGCTGGTACCCCGCCAGTCAGAGTGACTGCTGGCATGTACGCTGGTACCCCGCCAGTCAGAGTGACTGCTGGCATGTACACTGGTACCCCGCCAGTCAGAGTGACTGCTGGCATGTGCGCTGGTACCCCGCCAGTGAGAGTGACTGCTGGCATGTACGCTGGTACCCCGCCAGTCAGAGTGACTGAGTGACTGCTGGCATGTACGCTGGTACACGCCTGATACACGCTGAAAATTACAACTACAGATAATTAATAATTGGTTTACAAATCAATTGGCTGGAAAGCCCAGTGCCCTCCCTATGCTTTGCTTTCACCTAGGTAATCATGCTTGTTACTTCAGTTTCCTAATCATCAATTTATATAAAACTGATAGAAACGTCTTTTCAATATGATTATCATGTACATCTTTATGTATGTTTGTGCAAAGACGTTTCTATTGGTTGGATAGAAATAGAGGAATTCTTATGGAATGCATACTCCACTGCAGCCACTTCATTACATGGAGATCCCTGCACACACCATTCTCAAATCAAATAGTCTCTTCGCTGCAAATTACTTATGTCTCAATCATATTTTCTTACAAGAAAACTATGAATTAGCCTCTGGGATATAGCTGATGCTATTACCGCTCTTTAGAGATCGGATAGCTCTAATTCTGCGATGACCATGCCCGGAATTTACCGGAAGCCTGATTGATTATCTTCCAAGCTCTGGGCGTCGAGACCCCCAATATAATGGTCAAAACACAATGATCCCAAGGGACCCATTGGAACTTATTGAGCTGGAGGGGTATGCCCCATGTCCTGGGAAATTGTCAGAGAAACAACCCAGGGGATTAAGAGCAGAGCAGAAGAGTGCGGTTTTTACCGCTCTTTAGCGACGAAATGGCTCTAGTCTAGTGCCATTTTCTGCGGATTCTCAGCCTGTCGGAGTACTTACTCCAAGAGTTGTCATTATTAACGAAGAGCACAGCTTCAAGGGTGTGCTGTAAAAGACGGAAGGTCGTTTGCATCCGCTTTTGTAGATTTTCCCGGGAACTGGAACAGTGGGGTTGAAGTCAGTATCTGCAAAACTTAGACTGTGACAGAAAACAATAGCCTGATCTATGTGTTCGGTCTTCTTTGAACATGCGAGTGAGCGTGCGGACATGTTGGTGCCTAGAGTGGTGAATGGATGTCCAGTAAATGCTGTGATTGATACAGGATCCGCCGCTACATTGTTGTCAGAGGATTTTGCTGACCGCCTACCTAAGGAGCGGGAAAAGGAAACCTCAGACCAAGGCCCGAAGTAAATTGGTGCCAACGGACAACCACCGCCGCCCGAGACGAGGAGGACACCGCTCGGGTATTTGACAGTGCTCCGCCAGTTGGCGTGATGGAAAGGCGAACCACGCGTTCCCGCCATCCGCCCCAGCTGTTTGGGAGTCCTGTGTGGCACTAATGAGTGACTTCAGTGGTACTGACTGGATTGGTTGTGTTCTATATTAAAGTTAGTTTTTGGAACAATTTTGGTAGGGACTCCAATTTCACCTGCACTCGTGAAGTTAAAATTGTTAGCCATAATCTTAGTTTAATTTATTAAGTTACGTATAACACAAGGACGTGTTCTTTTCCGTGTAAGCGGGGGGATATGTCGTATCCATACTATTGACACGTGCCTTTCAGGCCTCTACGTGACAATTCTGCCTTATTTAGGTGTCTCATTATTTATTTATCTCCCGTAAACGGATTCATAATCGCCTTTATTTTATGTCTTCACACAAAGCCTGCCGCCTTCCTTATTTGGTATACCCTGTTATTCCTTAGCTGGCTCCTGCTCTTTGTGATACAGTTTATACATATTATTGCTAAGGTTTGGTACACTGCGGCATGCGGATGTACTATGGTTCATTATTTGTCCTATAGTTCGTATGGGGGGGGGGGGGGATCAGCCTCCTGCCCGTAGTTAGATATTATAGCAATCGCCTTTCTCTCTCTCTCTCTCTCTCTCTCTCTCTCTCTCTCTCTCTCTCTCTCTCTCTCTCTCTCTCTCTCTCTCTCTCCCTCTTGCCTTCCGCCTTCAGGCGGAAGCTTCGGCTTTCGTCTCTCTTGCCTTGTGCTCTCATATCATCTCTTGAACTAAGTTGCCTTCGTTGAAGATGTGAGTAAACCTGAACGCTGGTGTGAGTGTACGTGTCTGTATAATTATGCCTGAGTGTGTGTGTGTGTGAATATGTCTAGGTATATGTGAGTGCGTGCGTAAGAGTAATTCTGTTGGTGGACTCTCTCTCTCCAAGTGGCCACCACTGCACGGCCTTGTAAGAAGATTTAGTAAGTTAGTTATGTCCACGACCGCAGCCTCTAGTCTAACCCCGGGCCGACCGGATACGACACATGACCAAACCGGTAACACACCGAGTGTGCAATTCTGGCGCCAGAATTAGAGAAATTCCGCCCTCTCTTCAGAATTGACGGATTTGACGGAATTGGATAAAATCAATTCTAACGACGGAGTTTGTCACTTTTTGTGTAATCGAACTGTGCATCAACAATACCTAATTCTAGAATTGACGGAAATGCGTGTAATCGAAAGTGCCCTATATGTATGTGTGACCGCTGCATCGTGTGTTCCGCGAAAGCGGCTGCCGTAGTTACGATTTTTGCCTCCGCTAAGGCCCCGGTCACACATGCACTTTTTTTGGCGGTTCCGCTAAAGCGTAACTTACGCTTCCACCGTTGCCTCGGCAACGGCGGAGACTTAAGTTACGCTCTGGCGGAAAGTTTGGATTTCGCTACGCCAAAAAAATGCGAGCGGAAGCTCCGCTTTCGCAGATCCGCTTTGGCCGATACTGCATGGTGATGGCTTTGGAGTTTGGTGTCCTACTTCTGCACTGAGTTCTGGTGTTGTTTGGTCGCCGTTTGGTATTGAGTTTTCATATTGTTCTTCTTTGCCAATGAACTGTACGTTCTGGAGATCCGGCAAACAATACTGCATCGTTATGAGTGGATAGTTGGTGAAGGAATCCGTCTCCCAACTCATTGGCCCCGATCACGGACGATCTCCAACTCTCTCCTTCTCTCTCCAAGCAATACGTCCACCAGAGTATGCAACATTAGGACTGCAACCAGGGAGTAGTAGAGTACTCTGCCACACCCTCACTGCAATTGCCGGCATCCACGCAGTCGCTGGGTCGATGATGGATCATGGAGGAGTCAACGACACCCTGCTATACAACTATAATAAATTTTGATATTGATGTAAACTAAACTAATTTTCAAATACACCCGTACTGGGCCGCAGTGAATGTGCCCCAAATCCACGAGTGTACTTGACAGGAGACATTCAGCAGGCTGTCAGCGATCCACTATAGCTCTACTTGTACGAGCAAAGGTCGCTTAAACTCGGACAAGAACATCTAAAAATTCATAGGACATGCTACATTTGCATTCCCTCCGTCAAAGCGGAGCGTTGAGCTATAATTGAGGAGCACAGTAGTTTACCATGTATGTGTGGCCGCTGCATCGTGTGTTCCGCCAAAGCGGCTGCCGTAGTTACGCTTTTCATGTGTGGCCGCTGCATCGTGTGTTCCGCCAAAGCGGCTGCCGTAGTTACGCTTTTCATGTGTGACCGCTGCATCGTGTGTTCCGCCAAAGCGGCTGCCGTAGTTACGCTTTTCATGTGTGACCGCTGCATCGTGTGTTCCGCCAAAGCGGCTGCGGTAGTTACGCTTTTCATGTGTGACCGCGACCTACACACGGTACAAAACCGCATACAACTTAAAAGCATCATGGTCTTTGAAGTGGGCATGGAAACATGCGCGAAAAGTGAAATATCACATCAACGTTCGAAGCCATCCCGGAGCGCCTTTGAAGGCGGCTTTGAAAGCGGATTTCGGCTTTTAGTTTTCAGGCAAGACGAACCGAGTGGTTTGGTGTGTCGAATGCGCTGAGTTTTTGTTAGTTTTTGGAGAATCCGGTACCATGCCTCGAGTGGTCTTTTCTGCCAAGGTGGAGCTACGGCTGATAGAACTATGGGGAAAATACCAGCGAGAAAATGGAACTATGATTAAAAGAGCTGTTGCCGAGAAGAGCATTGCAGATGAGCTGAATCTGTGCGCAAAGCAGCTATCCGGAGGTGATCAGGAAACAGGAAATGATATACACGGCCGCTAGGGTTCACAACTCCAGCACACTCAGAGGAATACACCAGTTGTGAAGGCGTTCCACCGAGATCATACTAGCGGACCAAGAAATAGGATTTTTGAAATATTGAGCCAAGTGCCGCACGGAACAAGTGCGCGCAGCTCATGCAGAAATCAAAATTCCTGCTCTTCGCCATGGGTCAAGCGTGTAACCGGCTACTGCGGGTTGAGGAAAAGAATGATCTTTATTCGTACTGCACAGGGTTATATATGATGTAAAGGTGTCAACTAGATAGGTGGGATGGTAGGTGATAGGCCGAAGGGCCGTGGATAGAGGGGATAGGAGTGTGAACAGCAGGTAACACTGTTACACCATCCCACTCCCCTAAAGGAAGCATAGGGTTCAACGAGCAACTCAAGTAGATAAATCTGGATAAGCGGAATAAGTCGAGAACCCAACAGTCAAATCGCGAGGAAAATTACACAGAATGCAATGCAATGGAATTCCAGAAGTTAAGTCAGCTGCAATATCAGTGAAGATTCCTTGAATTTAAATAATGTCTTAAAAACACAATGTCTCTGCCAGACTCATCGCGCAAATTAGTTGCGGGCTCCCATGTAGCTTCGTCGACAGGATAGCCCTGCCAATGGACCAGGTACTCTCGCTGTGCCCTACGTTCTCGGTGATCCAGAATTTCTTCGACCATGAACCGTGTGTTTCCATCGAGGTCAGTGAATGATGATGGTGGAGGTTGCTCTCTGCCAGGAATAGCGTTTTCCTCATACCGCCGCAAGGCAGTAATGTTGAAGACGGGATGTGAACGAATCGTGCGAGGAAGCTCCAAACGATATGCGTTTGAGCTAATCTTTGCCTGCACGCGGTAGGGCCCAAACCACCTTGGCCGCAGCTTCCGGGACGGTTGAAGACGGGCCTCTGGCGTTAGCAAGAAGTCCTTATAAACAAGCACCATATCACCAACCTTGAACTGGCTGGGAACCCTTCCACGGTCTGCGTACAGCGCCTGGCGTGCTTGAGCGGCCACTGAGGCATCACGGGCAATGTCTAATACATCACGTTATTGCTGGAGCCAATCAACAGAGGCAGAACTCTCCCCTCCCCGTGAAATAAATTCAGGTGGGGACCGAGGATTAAATCCATAATTCAAGCAGAAAGGAGTGTTAGCAATAGATGATTATTGTGAACTGTTAATGGAAAACTCACACAACGGAAGAAGGGTGTCCCAATTGTCCTGTTTATGATTGACAAAAGCTCGTAGAACATCTTCTACTTGCCTATTAACACGTTCTATGAGCCCATCCGTCTGAGGATGGTTTGCTGTGCTGAAAGAAAGCTTAGTTCCTAGCTGTTTCATGATTTCTTGAAAAAAGTTGGCAGTAAATCTAGGATCTCTATCTGATACAATTGTGGAACTCAATCTATGAAGTCGGAATACATTCTGAATGTAAGGTTCAGCACTACCGCGGGCATCAATTGTGGAGTGGGTAGGAACCAAGTGAACACACTTGGTGAGGCGGTCTACAAATGTATAAATGGCATCATAGCCTCTGGGGGTGAGAGGGAGCCCCATGATGAAGTCCATTGAAATGTCCTTCCAAGGCTGGTCAGGAATGGGGAGGGATTGCAGAAAACCAGAACACTGCTGGCTGCCTTTGGTGTGTTGGCACACTCCGCAAGACTTAACAAACTTCTTAATATCAAGTCCCATTCTTGGCCAGTAAAAGTATCGTGCTAAACGAAAGTAGGTGCGGTCGCGACCCGAGTGACCAGCAGTTGCACAATCATGATACTCCTGGATAAGTTGCAAACGCATACTGCAATTCGGTATACAGAGACGGTTATTGGGGGTTCCTCGATGGTATAGAAGATGCATTTGCTCATCCCAATAGTATTAGTCATGCATATTATCTGGACCGGAATGTTGCATTCTTTCGATAATAGGTGAGAGATCCTTGTCATGCGAATATGCATTCTAAATCGTTGTCGCCAGCTGGTCGTTAATCTGCAGTGCATACTCGATGGCATTTACGTTGGCTGTTGGGGTGGGCTTGTTAATGCTAGATAGAATCTCATCCTGGCATGCCCTGTGCAAATCTGGGCGACGTGATAGTGGATCTGCGACGTTCTCTCGTCCTGGCTTGTGGTGAACAGAATAATGATAATCTGCCAAAAACTCCACCCACCTGGCCTCGCGCTTAGTAAGGTGGGGTTTGGTTCTCAAGTGAACCACTGCCATATTGTCAGTTAGGAGCTCAAATTGATTGAACAGGTAAATTCTCCAGCATTTGAGCGAGAATACGACTGCAAGGGTCTCTCTCTCTGCCGCTGTGTAGTTTCTCTCTGCAGATGATAATTTGCGGCTAGTGTATGCTACGGGGTGCCAATCCTCGTTATCATCTTCTTGGAGGAGAACGCCTGCTATCGGAAAATCACTTGCGTCCGTAACCACTCTGAATGGCTTGTCTACATCTGGAAGCTTGCTTGGAATCGTCCCATTCAAATCGTGCGTGCTTTCCAGTGATCGCTTCAAGGGGCTTAGCTATAGACGAATAGTGGTCTATGAATCGTCTAAAATAGTTCGTGAAGCCTAAGAACTGTCTTCGGGTCAGGTGAAATATGAGAGCCGTTGATGCCCCAAGAACAGAACTTCCGAAGCGCTGAATTCGCACTTCGATAACTTGCAGAGCAGTTGGTTCTTCCTGAGCACGTCCAGCACCGTCCGCACATGGCTTAGATGCTCTGAACACGATCTGCTCAATATGAGAATGTCATCCAGAAACACAACTACAAAATCTCGTGGCGGAGGATACTGTTCATCAGAGTCTGAAATGTGGCCGGTGCATTAGTCAGGCCGAAACCCATTAACCGGAATTGATAGTGCCCAAACGGTGTATTGATGGCCGTTTTCTCGACATCGTTCTTCTGAATACGGATCTGATTGTACCCTGATCTTAAATCGAGCTTCGTGAAATACGTGTTCCCCTGGACTGTGTCAAATAGATCATCCACATTGGGCAGGCAAGCCATATTATTCACAGTAATTTTGTTAAGATCCCTCCAGTCGCATACCATGCGCAAACTGCCATCTGCCTTTTTTACGAAGAACACGGGTGCACCATACGGGGACTTAATAGGCTCAACAAAACCCTTTGCGAGTAGTTGCTCCAGTTGCGACTTCAACTTGTCCATTTCCGGCTTGGGGAGACGATAGGCTGGACGTGACGGCGGCGGTGCACCCTCTTCAAGCCGAATCTCATGATCTACGGATCTTTCAGGTGGAAGTGCGTCCGGCAGTTCATCATGAAAGACATCGGAATACTCACGAAGCAAGTCAGCAACTTCGGGATTGTTAGAGTTGGGGATACTCAGAGGTGGATCAAGACCGGAGTCGTCCTCAGCTGTGACCCATGCTAGGAATCCTTGTTCGCCGTTTCTGAGCGCATGACTAGCCTGACAGACAGAAATGAACACGTTTTCGATTTGCGAGTCTCCGTCCTTGTCCTGAGAAGGTGCACTTGGCAGGTCATTCCCGTCCACGATTATTTCGTTGGTCCGGAAATTGATTCGTTGGTTGTTCCTAGTCAACCAGGGCTTGCCCAATATCGCGTCGTAGCGGGCGAGGGGAAAGACGGTAAACTGCAGTTTCTCCTTGGAGTCGCTGACAACAACATCTATGGCGTTCGTGGTCTCCATAGCGTGTGAGCTCGTTTTTCCATCCGCTAATGTGACTTTGAGTAATTCCGATCCCAACTCTGTTGGCACCTTGTGTCTTCGGACGAACACCTCAGAAATGAAGTCGTGGGTTGATCCACAGTCGATCAACACTGTCGCTGGACGGCCGTGCAGTTTGGCTTCCACCCGTAGTAGCTCGTTCTCTTTTTCAGCGACGACACTGCCGACGTGCGCTTCGCGGCTCTTCTTAACATGTTTTTTGGAATCAACACAACTAGTAGCGGTAGCAGCAGCAACATCCGCGGCAGGCTCATCTTCTCCGCAATCGACTTCGTCAACCAATAAGTCACTGAAGCGATTCTTCGTGGCGATTGGAGCGGCAGTGGGACAGGGTGGTGCTCTTCTCAGCGCCAGTGATCGCACCGCTGTCACTGGCGTCCAGCGTTTGGGTGGTGGTGAACTCGCGGGCAATCTCGGGCTAAATGTCCCTGCTGTCGGCAAGCGAAATATCTGCCAGCACTCATCAAGCGATTACGGTCTTCTGACGACAGTCTGGTTGGTCTTTGGATATTTGGCGATCCTGCAGCTATGCCATCTGGTTGGTGTCGATTCTCTGCCGTTACGGTCAGTGCTGCTTGTATAGCCTTCGACAGTGTTGTCGGATGCTCCTTGAGTACTTCACGCCTCAAATGGCCCCCGAGTCCGTTGACAAACAGCAGGGCGCGCGAGTGTTCGTCTAACTCAGGTACCTGCAGGCTGAGACGATTAAAGTCAGTGATAAATGATGCAACGGTGTCCTTCTGACGAGCACTAAATAAATTCAACCGATTTTGCTCATTGCTGAAATGCGGGCCATACACACTTCCTAGTGCATCCCTTAGCGTGGGCCAGTTGATGTAGTGTTCCCCAGCCTCCATGTTCGAAATAAGCCATAGGCGGGCATTGCCCACAAGAAAACTCGAGGCATAAGTAACTTCTTCCTCCTGTGTCGCAAATCCTATGGCTTTTATAGCTAAGTCCATGCTAAATACCCACTCCCGAAACAAATCTGCCTCACCGTGAAATGCCGGGGGCTCCTTGACATGGCGCTTGGTAATATTATCACGAGGGTGTTCTCTGGTGCTTAGCCCTGGGCTGGATGGGACTTGAAATGGTCTCGCAGGAGTTGGAGTGATGGCGGCCACGAGTCATCGCAACTCTTGTAGAGCCAGGTACGCTGTCACGGCGATGACGGTCAGCAGGAGCAGAATGCCAGTACTAGTCAGGTCGATGGAAATCATCCTCTCTGCTACTAGTGTAACCGGCTACTGCGGATTGAGGAAAAGAATGATCTATATTCGTACTGCACAGGGTTATATATGATGTAAAGGTGTCAACTAGATAGGCGGGATGGTAGGTGATAGGCCGAAGGGCCGTGGATAGAGGGGATAGGAGTGTGAACAGCAGGTAACACTGTTACAACGCGGGTCACTTTTTACGTGTTTGGCATGCACTGCATTTGACTGTGTGAATGCACAGGCGTTGCAAGTGACTTGTATAGTCATGTAAACGCGAACTTTTGTACCGGGTGTGAATGCAGCCTTAAAGGGGAAGTTAAGGCAAAAATTTCACCAGCTGTAGTCTTCGGGGTGCTGACTCGAATGGTCGTGGTCCGAGGAAGCTGAGACGCTCCCTTCCTACTTGAATCCCAATCGAACTCGCGCACTTCCACCGAAACTGGATGACTGCGCCCCACTAGATGGGGATTTGTATGCAAAATGTCACTAAAAGCGCCATTACGTTCTTATAAAGGCACGGATGACCGCGATTGGCCCATATGTTGTAGTCTTTTGGACGCTGCGTCGACTGGTTTTGCTCCGAAAAGGCTGCGATGCAGCGTTCCTCCTTTCTTCCCAATCGATCATGGTTGAACAAGCGGTCACGTGCTCCTGCGTACGCCAGTCACCTGGTCACCGTGCCTGCAGGGTACAACTTACTAGCCTGTTTGACCTTTTTTGGGTGCAGTCCTGTCACTCGAGTTGAACCTTGGTGTGAAAGTTGTCGCCTGCTGGCGTGGTGACCAGGTGATTTGGGCACCCAGGAGCACGTGACCGCTTGTTCAAGCATGTTCGATTGGGAATAAAGGAGGAACGCTGCATCGCAGCCTTTTCGGACCAAAACCAGTCGACTCAGCGTCCAAAAGACTACAACATATGGGCCAATCGCGGTCATCCGTGCTTTTATAAGAACGGAAATGGCGCTTTTAGCACATTTTGCATACAAATCCGCATCTAGTAGGGCGCAGTCACCCAGTTTCGGTGGAAGTGCGCGAGTTCGATTGGGATTCAAGTAGGAAGGGAGCGTCTCAGCTTTCTCGGACCAAGACCATTCGACTCAGCACCCCGAAGACTACAACTGGTGAAATTTTAATTTTTGCCTTAACTTCCCCTTTAATTAAAAGCTTTGCAAACTTTTCATGTGTGACCGCGGCCTTAGTGGAGGCCCAACTGTGGAAAGGAGTAGCCTCAGTCAGCATGATCATAACGCGACGCAGCTCACCAGATCAAGGTGTGGGTCCTCTTCCGGTGCCGAAAGGCAGGCTCACGCCCCTACATGGCTACTTCCCATTGTCTAACCCCCAAGACAATTATGTAGCCGACTGGCCGAAATTAAAAAAAGAAAGCGAGCGGCTCTGGATGAATGACTGCAATGTACTGTCGCGGACATGGAAATCCAGTCGATTGACCAGGGCCGGAGCCCTCAGCGCGTACAGAACGTCGTCGTGGCATGCAGCGCACATGTTATTGTTGAAACGATGCAACCAACAGCAGCGCGTAATAAAGCATGCCATGGCTGCATGGCCAGCGCCCTGGGGCCGCTAGACGTGCGACCGAATTTCCAATTCCACGACAGTACATGCATGATGATCATGTGTTGTGTAGAGTGCTGCTGTGGATGCCGCCAGCCTTTTAACGCCTTTTGGCCTTGAACTGGCTGTAGCTACCATGGAGTAGTAAAATACATACGTATTTTACTACTCCATGGTAGCTACTGCCTGTAAAAAAAGGATCTCATTTCCTCTGCACTGCCTTGCTTCTACTACGATCTAGCCCGGCTGTGTACCCCGTGACGTGTAAGTGGGTGAACAGACAGGCCGACTGTAGGGTCTACATAATCTTTATAGTACAGGCGACATCGCTCACTAGCACTGTTGCATGTGATGACACTTGAACAGCTAGTCCGCCTCTGCTCTGGCGACACAGACTGTCGGCTTCATTTCGGAGTTGGTGTGGGAGCGTCAGCAGAAAGATCGGCCCGCAATGATTATGTAGACCTACATATGGATATACACGAGTAGCACTGTACTTTTGTAGTGTGGAGCAGGCAGTAGAATCTGATGTCATGTTGTACAGTCATGTACATAATCTACGCGTAAATCTACAACTTTTGCCAGATCAGACAGATGAATGAAGCCACAGAGCTCTGGCCGCTGGATCGGGCAGCGAACGTGTAGAGAGGATCTTGGACTGCTGCACCGTCTGTGCTTCAGTTGAATGCGGAATCGTTTTTTTCTTGCTCGTTGCCGTCTGTGGGTGTTCTGGGCGGATGCGTGTTCTGCTTGCGGCCCTTCACATTGTTATTTTCTGGGAGTTTGAGTGACGCTCCGTCGCAATCTGGTTGTGGAAGTGAAGCGCTTTCGTTCGTTACCTGCCCATCGGCAGGTGGCGTTTAGGTTTGTTTGACTACCAATCGTACTGGTCAACGTTACCAGTATAGCGGACGCCGGACAGGAACCACCCGGCCGTTATCGGGAGCAGGTGCTTCTCCCTGGCTTGAAGTCAGGTAAGCATCTCCCATTCAGTCCCCAACATTTCACTGAAGGTGTGCGCTGAGTTCTAGTAGTACAGCAGTCCTAACCCGTAACGATTTATTGGAAAAGGCTTCTGCTGATGTACAGTACTCCGTGTTGTGTGCTCACATTTGTCCGCATGGTAATGCATTGTTCGTAGTGAAGCGCAGCAACAGCAATTCAAACGCGAAGGTTTTTCGGCTGCTGCAGTACCTACTCACTCTCAATCCGTGTGCTTTGCAAGCAGAGAAAATTAGTCGATGAATAATTTCTTCAAATTCCAAAGAAAGGACTCCTTCCAATCGGAACCGTTGACCATTGACCAGAAAAAACAAAATGTTACATGTACAGTCGAATGTCACTTATCCGACCACTTCGGGAATCAGGCATGTTGGATAACTGATTATGTTGGATAACTGATATCCATTTTATGTGCAAACCGATCAAGACAAGCCTAGCGTCTACATAATCATAATATAGTGCACTGTACAGGCGACATCGCTCACTGATGACACTTGAACAGCTTTGATTCCCACCTTCCAAACCGGCAAATATTTAGATTTTGATAAAAACGATTCAAAGCCTCTCAATTTTTGTAATACTTGAAGTATGAAGTATAGATATAAGAATAAAAATAATAGTTAAACTTTCACACAAAACAAGCTCGGTGCAGCACCAATCACGGCAGGGATACCCGACCCTCCACCATCGCCAACTCACGAAGCATGTAAACTGGACGATGACGGGCGGACGGAGCACCCCTGACACTAGGCCTCCGCGGAATGTCCCGGCATAATTTCGGGAATTATCGGTGTGATTTTTAAAACGGGAATTATTGGCAAGTTTTGTGGAATAATCAGTAAAATTTGAGCAATGCCCCCCTTTTTTCAATTTTTTCCATTTATAACACCCTGATTTGTACCAAAAAGCTTGTGATCCTGAAGTTGATCACCCGGTATTTCAAAAAAGAAAGAAGAAAAAAGCTTCCAGCCTAGTTTCACGCGAACCGTGATTTTTTTGCCAGTACAAGTCGCAAAAAAACCCGTACGCGGTACGGTATCTGCAAAATGGAAGAAAAAAGCATTATTATGAGAATTATTGGTGGAATTACGGGAATAATCGGTCGAAATTTTGAGCAATGCTCAAAGGAATTATCGGTAAAAATACGAGCATATTCCGCGGAGGCCTACCTGACACACAACACAGCGGAACGTAGCAGCGCGAGAGACACCCGACGGCGATAGTAACCCATCAACGTTGAACAACTAATGTTGATGACACTTGAACAGCTACTGTAGTCCGCCTCTGGCGACACAGTTGACAGCCGGCTTCATTTCGGAGTTGGCGTGGTATCAGCGGAAAGATGGGCCCGCAATGATTTTAGACCTACTTGTACTAGTACGTGTCGATCTACACGAGCAGGTACGCTTTCCAACGGCCAAAGAGAGTTGGAAAGCTTGTGTCTTTGTGGGTAACGCCTTTACTTCGACATTGCCGAGCCACCGTGCTCACAGCAGAGACTTCTGTGTGTGTTATTGTTGTGAAGTGGACCACAAAGACGCACTGTACTTTTGTAGTGTGGAGCAGGCAGTAGAATCTGATGTCATGTTGTACAGTCATGTACATAATCTACGCGTAAATCTACAACTTCTGTCAGATCAGACAGATGAATGAAGGCACAGAGCTCTGGCCGCTAGAGCGTGCAGCGAACGTGTAGATAGGATCTTGGACTGCTGCACCGTCCGCGCTTCAGTTGAATGCGGAATCATTTTTTCTTGCTCGTTGCCGTCTGTAGGTGTTCTGGGCGGATGCGTGTTCTACTTGCGGCCCTTCATATTGTTATTTTCTGGGAGTTTCAGTGACGCTCCGTCGCAATCTGGTTGCGGAAGTGAAGCGCTTTTGTCCGTTATCTGCCAATCGGCAGGTGGCGTTTAGATTTGTGGGACTACTACCAGAATAGCGGACGCCGGACAGGAACCATCCGGCCGCTTTCGGGAGCAGGTGATTCTCCCTTGCTTGAAGCCAGGTAAGCATCTCCCATTCAGTCCCCAATATTTCACTGAAGGTGTGCGCGGAGTTCTAGTAGTACAGCAGACCTAACCCGTAACGATTTATAATTGGGAAAGGCTTCTGCTGATGTAGAGGGGACGGCTCGATACCGGGACGCTTTGACAGCCAAATTTGTATAGACCCAAACCGATCATCAGCGTTGATTTATCACTCGAAATATGTTTGTGGAAGGAAGCTGGCATGTTGAAGTTTGCTCTGGGGCCAGAGTCAATCGAACTGAGCCACTCCTTTGTGTTGACCCATTGCCTCCAAGTTGCCCAATTTTTCGCTTCAAAAAAGTTCAAATCAGAGGTGGCTCCAAACTGGACACGTTTTAGAGTGCACGTCAAATTAACTCTGGGTCTGAAATTAGGTAATTGCTATCGCCCCACGACGGCCAGTACAGAGTAACAATAAGCCTTGTTTGTGCTTCCATTAGTTTTGATTGGTATGCGGTGCTTTATTGGCGAGAGGCGAGCCGCTGTTTACCTGCGACAAGAAGTTGATTTTTCGAAAGTCGTAAAATTCAAGTCGCAGTGCGAAGCAACGCGTCAAAAACTCACCTGCTTGGTATGGCGCTTCTGGTCATCGCAGAGCCATGAAATTTTGGCTCGGAGTATAACACATCGTAGTCTCACTGTGACATATGTTTTCTAATCAAAATACCAAGAGAGAAAGTGAATATTGAGTCCGTTCCGGTTTGCAACCTATGTCCTATTTGAGACCGTCCCCTCTACAGTACTCCGTGTCGTGTGCTCACATTTGTCCCCATGGTGTTGTATTGCTCATAGTGAAGCGCAGCAACGGCAATTCAAACGCGAAGGTATTTCGGCTGCTGGAATATCCACTCACTCGCAATCCGTGTGCTTTACAGGCAGAGAAAATTAATAGTAGTCGATGAATAATTTCGTCAAATTCCAAAGAAAGGACTTCTTCCAATCGGAAACGGTGACCACGAGAAAAACAAAATTAATTGGAAAGTTTCTTTGAGCTAAAATTTTAGTGAAAAAGTTGTCAGCGCTTTCTAGGTTGTGCACAGTGCCATAGCTTAGATGGTTAGAGCTATGCTCATGACAAGCAAGGTCGCAGGTTCCAGTCCTGTTGGGGTTTGCATTTTGTTATCTTGTCAGGGCAGTCCAAATCCCTGACAGATCACTTTGCTGGGGCGCCACCAGGTTCTAAAAAGTTGTATGACCGAAAGGAGGCGAAGAGAAAGAGGGGGTCTGAGGGACATGTCCACCTTAAAAAATCTTATTTTCGGGAGCGGATTCTGTATCGCAAAGACGTTTCTATCAGTTTGAATAACAAAAATATAGAAACTGCCGACTTGTCATTACAATTGTCGCTTCGCACCTCGCAATGTTTGTGACTTGATGGTCTTAGTCAGGCTGTCGGAATCACTGTTTTCTGTGTACGAACATTGGTATGACCCTTCCCACCCAATTGCTATGAAAGCCGTTGTGGTCTTGGAGCTCTCTTCCGCATCAAACAAATTCTTCGGGTTCCGCAATATTTCGCCCAGAGTGCGAATCTTTTTTTTGTAGTTCTTACCGGCCCACATTCCCTCCCACCGCTTTAGGAGCTGCATCTGCGCCTTGATCCTTGAAGGGTGGTGGCGTTCATGCGGATGCGGAAAACTTGGCCTCTAGCCGAGTCTGACGCAAACCATGATTTTTTTTTGCAAACAAAGGGATATGAATCCTGGTGTAACGTTATCTCTTGAATTTGGCATGCTGAAGTTGAGGTTTGCAAGAACAAAGTGTTCTCAAATTCCTGAAATGCGCTACCTGTGGTGCATGTTGCTGCGAAGGTAGCTGGCCTGCAAACAGCAACAACATGAGCGCAGTGCTTGTCAAGGAAAGAAGGTGCTGAACTGCTTACCCTATCTCTCTGCTGCTACTGCTACTGCTCATTATAATCTAGTGTAAAAAATGCTAGTATGACGTCATCGCCTGACACCTGCAGGCATCCATTGCTTGAAAAAAAAAATTTCATGACCTGAATTTGAACACGCTTCTTGTTCAGCGTTTTGTTGAGTACTGAAGGGTGCGCCTCAAATCCTGGTGAAGACGTCGACCCCAGCCGCAATTGCAGCAAAGCAGGAGGCCACAAATTGTAGCTTAAGCTGTGTTCACAACTGGCGCGTGCACGCGGTACGCTTGCGGTTCGTGCGTGCCCAGATGCGCACTCAGCCTTTCACAAAAAAACAGCAATCCGAGTCCGTATTTAGCGTGTTTAGCGACACCTTCGAGTACCAATTTTCTGACCCCGCCAGTCAAAGTGACTGCTGGCATGTACGCTGGTAACCCGCCAGTCAGGGTGACTGCTGGCATGTACGATTGTACCCCGCCAGTCAAAGTGACTGCTGGCATGTACGCTGGTACCTCGCCAGTCAGAGTGACTGCTGGCATGTACGCTGGTACCCCGCCAGTCAGTGTGACTGCTGGCATGTACGCTGGTACCCCGCCAGTCAGAGTGACTGCTGGCATGTACGCTGGTACCCCGCCAGTCAGATTGACTGCAGGCATGTACGCTGGTACCCCGCCAGTCACAGTGACTGCTGGCATGTACGGTTGTACCCCGCCAGTCAGAGTGACTGCTGGTATGTACGCTGGTACCCCGCCAGTCAGAATGGCTGGCATGTACGCTGGTACCCCGTCAGTCAGAGTGACTGGCACGTACGCTGGTACCCCGCCATTCAAAGTTACTGCTGGCATGTACGCTGGTACCCCGCCATTCAAAGTGGCTGCTGGCATGTACGCTGGTACCCCGCCAGTCAGAGTGACTGCTGGCATGTACGCTGGTACCCCGCCAGTCACAGTGACTGCTGGCACGTACGCTGGTACCCAGCCAGTCAGAGTGACTGCTGGCATGTACGCTGGTACCCCGCCAGTCAGATTGACTGCAGGCATGTACACTGGTTCCCCGCCAGTCACAGTGACTGCTGGCATGTACGCTGGTACCCCGCCATTCAAAGTGACTGCTGGCATGTACGCTAGTACCCCGCCAGTCCGAGTGACTGCTGGCATGTACGCTGGTACCCCGCCAGTCAGATTGACTGCAGGCATGTACGCTGGTACCCCACCAGTCACAGTGACTGCTGGCATGTACGCTGGTACCCCGCCATTCAAAGTGACTGCTGGCATGTACGCTGGTACCCCGCCAGTCAGAGTGACTGCTGGCATGTACGCTGGTGCCCCGCCAGTCAAAGTGACTGGTGGCATGTACGCTGGTACCCCGCCAGTCAGAGTGACTGCTGGCATGTACCCTGGTACCCCGCCAGTCAGAGTGACTGCTGGCATGTACGCTGGTACCCCGCCAGTCAGATTGACTGCTGGCATGTACGCTGGTACCCCCCCCCCCCCCCCCCCCCAGTCAGAGTGACTGCTGGCATGTACGCTGGTACCCCGCCAGTCAAAGTGACTGCTGGCATGTACGCTGGTACCCCGCCAGTCAGAGTGACTGCTGGCATGTACGCTGGTACCCCGCCAGTCAGATTGACTGCAGGCATGTACGTTGGTACCCCACCAGTCAGAGTGACTGCTGGCATGTACGCTGGTACCCCGCCAGTCAGAGTGACTGCTGGCATGTACGCTGGTACCCCGCCAGTCAAAGTGACTGCTGGCATGTACGGTTGTACCCCGCCAGTCAGAGTGACTGCTGGCATATACGCTGGTACCCCGCCAGTCAGAGTGACTGCTGGCATGTACGATGGTACCCCGCAAGTCAAAGTGACTGCTGGCATGTACGCTGGTACCCCGCCAGTCAAAGTGACTGCTGGCATGTACGCTGGTACCCCGCCAGTCAGAGTGACTGCTCGCATGTACGCTGGTACCTTTGCCAGTCAGAGTGACTGCTGGCATGTACGCTGGTACCCCGCCATTCAAAGTGACTGCTGGCATGTACGCTGGTACCCCGCCAGTCAAAGTGACTGCTGGCATGTACGGTTGTACCCCGCCAGTCAGAGTGACTGCTGGTATGTATGCTGGTACCCCGCCAGTCAGAATGGCTGGCATGTACGCTAGAACCCCCTCAGTCAGAGTGACTGGCATGTACGCTGGTACCCCGCCAGTCATAGTGACTGCTGGCATGTACGCTGGTACCATGCCAGTCACGGTGACTGCTGGCATGTACGCTGGTACACCGCCAGTCAGATTGACTGCAGGCATGTACGCTGGTACCCCGCCAGTCAGAGTGACTGCTGGCATGTACGCTGGTACCCCGCCAGTCAGAGTGACTGCTGGCATGTACGCTGGTACCCCGCCAGTCAGAGTGACTGCTGGCATGTACGCTGGTACCCCGCCAGTCAGAGTGACTGCTGGCATGTACGCTGGTACCCCGCCGGTCAGAGTGAATGCTGGCATGTACGCTGGTACCCCGCCAGTCAAATTGACTGCTGGCATGTACGCTGATACCCCACCAGTCAAAGTGACTGCTGGCATGTACGCTGATACCCCGCCAGTCAGAGTGACTGCTGGCTTGTACGCTGGTACCCCGCCAGTCAGAGTGACTGCTGGCATGTACGCTGGTACCCCGCCAGTCAGAGTGACTGCTGGCATGTACGCTGGTACCCCGCCAGTCAAAGTGACTGCTGGCATGTACGCTGGTACCCCGCCAGTCAAAGTGACTGCTGGCATGTACGCTGGTACCCCGACAGTCAGAGTGAATGCTGGCATGTACGCTGGTACCTCGCCAGTCCGAGTGACTGCTGGCATGTACGCTGGTACCCGCCAGTCAGAGTGACTGCTGGCATGTCCGCTGGTACCCCGCCAGTCAGAGTGACTGCTGGCATGTACGCTGGTACCCCGCCAGTCAGAGTGACTGCTGGCATGTACGCTGGTACCCCGCCAGTCACAGTGACTGCTGGCACGTATGCTGGTACCCCGCCAGTCAGAGTGACTGCTGGCATGTACGCTGGTACCCCGCCAGTCAGAGTGACTGCTGGCATGTACGCTGGTACCCCGCCAGTCAAAGTGACTGAGTGACTGCTGGCTTGTACGCTGGTACACGCCTGATACACGCTGAAAATTACAACATCAGATAATTAACATTTGGTTTACAAATCAATTGGCTGGAAAGCCCAGTGCCCTCCCTATGCTTTGCTTTCACCTAGGTTTTCATGCTTATTACTTCAGTTTCCTAATCATCAATTTCTATAAAACTGATAGAAACGTCTTTTCAATATGATTATCAAGTACATCTTTATGTATGTTTGTGCAAAGACGTTTCTATTGGTTGGATAGAAATAGAGGATTTCTTATGGTACGCAAGCTCCACTGCAGCCACTTCATTACATGGAGATCCCTGCACACACCATTCTCAAATCAAATAGTCTCTTCGCTGAACATTACTTATGTCTTAATCAAATTTTCCTACAAGAAAACTATGAATTAGCCTCTGGGATATAGCTGATGGTATTACCGCTCTTTAGAGATCGGATAGCTCTAATTCTGCGATGACCATGCCCGGAATTTGCCGGAAGCCTGATTGGTTATCTTCCAAGCTCTGGGCGTCGAGACCCCCAGCATAATGGTTCAAAACCCAATGATCCCGAGGGACCCATTGGAACTTTATTAGCTGGAGGAGTATGCACCATGTCCTGGGAAATTGTCAGAGAAACCACCTAGGGGATTAACACCAGAGCAGAAGAGTACGGTTTTTACCGCTCTTTAGCGACGAAATGGTTCTAGTCTAGTGCCCTTTTCTGCGGATTCTCAGTCTGTCGGAGTACTTACTCAGAGAGTTGTCATTATTAACGAAGAGCACAGCTTCAAGGCTGTGCTGTAAATGACGGGAGGTCGTTTGCATCTGCTTTTGTAGATTTTCCCGGGAACTGGAACCCTGGGGTTGAAGTCAGTATCTGCAAAACTTAGACTGCGACAGAAAACAATAGCCTGATCTATGTGTTTGGTCTTCTTTGAACATGCGAGTGAGCGTGCGGACATGTTGGTGCCTGGAGTGGCGAATGGATGTCCAGTAAACGCTGTGATTGACACAGGATCCGCCGCTACATTGTCAGAGGATTTTGCCAAACGCCTATATAAGGAGCAGGAAAAGGAAACCTCTGACCAAGGCCCGAAGTCGATTGGTGCCAACGGACAACCACCGCCGCCCGAGACGAGGAGGACACAGTTCGAGTATTTGACAGCGCTCCGCCAGTTGGCGTGATGGAAAGGCGAACCCCGCGTTCCCGCTATCCGCCCCAGCTGTTTGGGAGTCCTGTGTGGCACGAGTAAGTGACTTCAGTGGTACTGACTGGATTGGTTGTGTTCGATATTACAGTTAGTCTTTGGAAAAATGTTGGCAGGGACTCCAATTTGACCCTGCACTCGTTTAGTTATTGTTACCTATACTCTTAGTCTAATTTATTAAGTTACTTATAACACGAGGACGTGTTCTTTTTTCCGTGTAAGCGGGGGATATGTCGTATCCATACTATTGACACGTGCCTTTTAGGCCTCTACTTGACAAGTCTGCCTTATTGAGGTTTCTAATTATTTATTTATCTCCCGTAAACGGATTCCTAATCGCCTTTTTTTATGTCTTCACACAAAGTCTGGCACCTTCCTTATTTGTTATACCCTGTTTTTCCTTAGCTGGCTTCCGCTCTTTGTGATACAGTTTATACACATTATTGCTAAGTTTTGGTACACTGCGGCATGCGGGTGTACTATGGTTCATTATTTGTCCTATAGTTCGTAGATCTACGGGGGATCAGCCTCCTGTACGTAGTTACATATTATGGCAATCGCCTTTCTCTCTGTTTCTCTCTCTCTCTCTCTCTCTCTCTCTCTCTCTCTCTCTCTCTCTCTCTCTCTTTCTCTATCTCTCCTTGGCCTTCCGCCTTCAGGCGGAAGCTTCGGCTTTCGTCTCTCTTGCCTTGTGCTCTCATATCATCTCTTGAACGAAATTACCTTCGTTGAAGATGTGAGTAAACCTGAACGCTGGTGTGAGTGTACGTGTCTGTATAATTATGCCGGAGTGTGTGTGTGTGTGTGAGAGTATGTCTAGGTATATGTGCGTGCATGCGTAAGAGTAATTCTGTTGGTGGACTTTCTATCCAAGTGGCCACCACTGCACGGCCTTGTAAGAAGAAGGTTTAATAAGTTAGTTATGTCGACGACCGCAGCCTTGGGGTCTAACCCCGGGCCGGCCGGATACGACACATGACCAGACCGGTAACACACGGAGTGTGCAATTCTGGCGGCAGAATTAGAGGAATTCCGTCCTCTCTTCAGAATTGACGGATTTGACGGAATTGGATAAAATCAATTCTAACGACGGAATTTGTCACTTTTTGTGTAATCGAACTGTGCATCAACAATAACTAATTCTAGAATTGACGGAAATGCGTGTGATCGAAAGCGTCCTATATGTATGTGTGATCGCTGCATCGTGTGTTCCGCGAAAGCGGCTGCGGTAGTTACGCTTTTTGCCCCTGTACACACGGTACCAAAACCGCATACAAGCATCATGTTCTTTGAAGTGGGCATGGAAACATGTGCGAAAAGTGAAAAATCACATCAGCGTTCAAAGCCATCCCGGAGCGGCTTTGAAAGCGGATATTGGCTTTTAGTTTTCAGGCAAGTCGAAACGAGTGGTTTGGTGTGTCCTGTGCGCAGAGTTTTTGTTAGTTTTTGGAGAGTCCGGTACCATGCCTCGAGTTGTCTTTTCTGCCAAGGTGGAGCTACGGCAGCTATCCGGAGGTGATCAGGAAATGATATACACGGCCGCTATGGTCCACAACTCCAGCACACTCAGAGGAATACACCAGTTGTGGAGGCGTTCCACCGAGATCATACTAGCGGCCCAAGAAATATTATTTTTGAAATATTGAGCCAAGTGCCGCATGGCACCGTTGCTCTCAGCTCATGTAGAAATCAAAATTCCCGCTCTTCGCCATGGGTCACGCGGGTCACTTTTTACGTGTTTGGCATGCACTGCATTTGACTGTGTGAATGCACAGGCGTTTCAAGTGGTTTGTACAGTCATGTAAACGCGAATTTTTGTACCGGGTGTGAATGCAGCCTTAAAGGGGAAGTATACCCTAAAATCAAAATTTTCACCAGTTGGAGTCTTCGGGGTGCTGAGTCGAATGGTCTTGGTCCGAGGAAGCTGAGACGCTCCCTTCCTCCTTTATTCCCAATCGAACTCGCGCACTTCCACCGAAACTGGGTGACTGCGCCCTACGGGATTTGTATGCAAAATGTCACTAAAAGCGCCATTTCGTTCTTATAAAAGCACGGATGACCGCCATTGGCCCATATGTTGTAGTCTTTTGGACGCTGAGTCGACTGGTTTTGGTCCGAAAAGGCTGCGATGCAGCGCTCCTCCTTTATTCCCAATCGAACATGGTTGAACAAGCGGTCACGTGCTCCTGCGTATCCCAGTCACCTGGTCACCGTGCCTGCAGGGTACAACTTACTAGCCTGTTTGACCTTTTTTGGGTGCAGTCCTGTCACTCGAGTTGAACTCGAGTTGAACCTTGGTGTGAACCAGGGAGTCGTGTAGACTCCCTGGTGTGAACGTTGTCGCCTGCTGGCGCGGTGACCAGGTGATTTGGGCACCCAGGAGCACGTGACCACTTGTTCAACCATGTTCGATTGGGAATAAAGGAGGAACGCTGCATCGCAGCCTTTTCTGACCAAAACCAGTCGACTCAGCGTCCAAAAGACTACAACATATGGGCCAATCGCTGTCATCCGTGCTTTTATAAGAACGACATAGCACTTTCAGTGAGATTTTTGCATACAAATCCCCATCTAGTAGGGCGCAGTCGCCCAGTTTCGGTGGAAGTGCGCGGGTTCGATTGGGAAAAAAGAAGGAAGGGAGCGTCTCAGCATCCTCGGACCAAGACCATTCGACTCAGCACCCAGAAGACTACAACTGGTGAAAATTTGATTTTAGTGTATACATGTACTTCCCCTTTAAAAGCGGTGCAAACTTTTCAGGTGTGACCGCGGCCCTAGTGGAGGCCGAACTGTGAAAAGGAGTAGCCAAGTCAGCATGATCAAAACGCGACGCAGCTCACCAGATCAAGGTGTGGGTCCTCTTCAGGTGCCGAAAGGCGGGCTCACGCCCCTACATGGCTACTTCCCATTGTCTAACCCCCAAGACAATTATGTAGCCGACTGACCAAAATTACGAGCGGCTCAGGATGAATGACTACAATACTGTCGCGGACATGGAAATCCAGTCGATTGACCAGGGCCGGCGCCCTCAGCGCGTACAGAACGTCGTCGTTGCATGCAGCGCACATGTTGATACGATGCGACCAGCAGCAGCGCGTAATAATGCATGCAATGGCTGCATGGCCAGCGCCCTGGGGCCGCTAGACGTGCGACCGGATTTCCATGTCCACGACAGTACATGCATGATGATGATGTGTTCTGTAGAGTGCTGCTGTGGATGCCAGCCTTTTCATGCCTTTGCCTTAGCCTTGGCTGTAGCTACTACTACCAGGGAGTAGTAAAATACATGTACGTATTTTACTACTCACTGGTAGCTACTGCCTGTAAAAAAAGGATCTCATTTCCTCTGCCCTGCCTTGCATACGATCTAGCCCGGCTGTGTACCACGTGACGTGTACGTGGGTGAACAAACAGGCCTATTGTATGGTCTACATAATCTTTAGTACAGGCGACATCGCTCACTAGCACTGTTGCATGTGATGACACTTGAACAGCTAGTCCGCCTCTGCTCTGGCGACACAGACTGTCGGCTTCATTTCGGAGTTGGTGTGAGAGGGTCAGCAGAAAGATCGGCCCGCAATGATTATGTAGACCTACATATGGATGTACACGAGTAGCACTGTACTTTTGTAGTGTGGAGCAGGCAGTAGAATCTGATGTCATGTTGTACAGTCATGTACATAATCTACGCGTAAATCTACAACTTTTGCCAGATCAGACAGATGAATGAAGCCACAGAGCTCTGGCCGCTGGATCGTGCAGCGAACGTGTAGAGAGGATCTTGGACTGCTGCACCGTCTGTGCTTCAGTTGAATGCGGAATCGTTTTTTTCTTGCTCGTTGCCGTCTGTGGGTGTTCTGGGCGGATGCGTGTTCTGCTTGCGGCCCTTCACATTGTTATTTTCTGGGAGTTTGAGTGACGCTCCGTCGCAATCTGGTTGCGGAAGTGAAGCGCTTTCGTTCTTTACCTGCCCATCGGCAGGTGGCGTTTAGGTTTGTTTGACTACCAATCGTCCGGATCAACGTTACCAGAATAGCGGACGCGGACAGGAACCACCCGGCCGTTATCGGGAGCAGGTGCTTCTCCCTGGCTTGAAGTCAGGTAAGCATCTCCCATTCAGTCCCCAACATTTCACTGAAGGTGTGCGCTGAGTTCTAGTAGTACAGCAGTCCTAACACGTAACGATTTATTGGAAAAGGCTTCTGCTGATGTACAGTACTCCGTGTCGTGTGCTCACATTTGTCCACATGGTAATGCATTGTTCGTAGTGAAGCGCAGCAACAGCAATTCAAACGCGAAGGTTTTTCGGCTGCTGCAGTACCTACTCACTCTCAATCCGTGTGCTTTGCAAGCAGAGAAAATTAGTCGATGAATAATTTCGTCAAATTCCAAAGAAAGGACTCCTTCCAATCGGAACCGTTGACCATTGACCAGAAAAAACAAAATGTTACATGTACAGTCGAATGTCACTTATCCGACCACTTCGGGAATCAGGCATGTTGGATAACTGAATATGTTGGATAACTGATATCATTTTTATGTGCATATAAGGCTGAATTTCACTAATTTATGTACACAATACCCAATTATATTGATGCATATTCCATGTACACATATATTTTGCATACTTGACCACATCTACTTCAAGTAAATGCATATTTCACCGTATAATATACAAAAACAAAAACAAAAGTTCATTTTTTATTTTTTAGAATTTTACTGTTGAGTGTCATAAAATTACCACTCCCGGACTTGTCGGATAACTGACGTGCTCAGATAACTGGCGACCGGATGAGTGACATTCGACTGTACATGGCTATGGCTCATGAGTAGGGGTGCGCGGATTATTCCCGGAATAATTTGGGAATACTATCGTCGAGAAAATGTTGGGAATTTTAGGGGAATTCTATCGATCTTTTGTCACATCCATTGATCTTCAGAAGAGTTTTGGTGGAATTCTGTCAATTTTGATGTGCCAGAGAAGAAGCGGGCATCCATGGCCGCACGTACATGTACAGTCATGCAGCAATAGCCGGACACTGGACATAGTAGCTGTGTACAATCAATCATGTACACCTAGTACATCTAGTACATCAGATCCTGCATGCAGTGATCACGTGCCTGACAGTCTATTTTGCATACTAAAGAGCATGTGCAAGGCACGGTTCGTGCTGGGGGTCTTTTTTGGGGGGGGGGGGGGGAATTCTGGAGAATTGTTTCAATGTTTTGGGAGAATACTTTCGAAGTTCCGCGGGAATTGCCCGAAAGCATAATATCGGTTGCGTGCGAGCATAATCCGCGCACCCCTACTCATGAGTGCACAATTATTAGTTTTATTCCCGTAGCTATGCAGAAGACGTAACTTCAGTAACGTCTGGCGCTAGCCAGGGTCCACACAGCTTCAATTTGGTGTTTGTGTGTTTGTGTCACGCCCGGCGCTATCCCGTGTCTGTCCCGTACCGTACCGTACCATCAAACACAGCTGGCCACATACAGCTGGGCGCATTATTCAAATAGGGGTTTCAAACGCAAGATCCAACTTGGTAGAATGAGTATGGATGCGAAGTGTACGGGGGAATGCATGTAGGGCGATAGTGCGGGTTCTAATCCCAGGTTAGGCCACACCAAGTTATCTCTATGTTTCGCGTCACCCGCCCGCGTACCTATTCGAATCCTTTACAAGAAAAAAAAAGAACCTAGACGAGCCAATCGATGGCTGTTCTGGCGAACATTCTCTAGCCAGTATGGCAGATCAGAGGTTATCAGCTTTTCGATAATCTTGCATTCCAGGCGATGGTAAGTAGAAGGTGCGAGAGATGAAAATTTCTATTTTTCCAAGCCGTGCGGTAGGCCTAGGGCCTGCTCACCAAGCGAGCAGAGATTCCAGGTGTCCAGGACTTCGAGATTTTCCACGTTTGTGATGGAGCGGGATCCCACTCGACTCATGTCAAAATGCAGGAGGAGCCATCCATGAAATCTCTGTATGGCTCCAGCCCAGTCTGCCAGCTGTCCTGTGACGACTTGTTGTCGTTTTGGATAGAAGTGACAGTTTAGTAGTGGTATTCTGTGTGCAACGTGGCTCAGAACACATAGAATGGAGTTTTGTTTTTTCTTCTGTTTTTGTTTTTTTCCGCCCGCGTGCCTTTTCCAGAAAATATCCGAAGCGAAACATAGAATTAACTTGGTGTGGCCTTATGCTAAAAAAATAGGAAAATTGAAAAATTTATAACATCTCTATGCTTTTTTGCCTAGGTCATCAAGGCGGTAGACGGTGTCGTATTACCCTCGACCGTACCTATCCCGTACCTGCCCCGTACCTGTCCCGTACCTGTCCCGTATCTGTCCCGTACCTGTCCCGTATCTGTCCCGTACCTGTCCCGTACCATACCGTGCTATCAAAGACGGCTGGCCACAATGCATATTCAAATAGGGCTTTCAAATGCAAGATGATAACGTGAAGCAACTTGGAAGAATTAGTTTGTGCGCGAAGTGTATCGGGGGATGCATGCACGGCGATAGTGCGGGTTCGAATCCCAGGTTATGTCTTTAAAAAAAAGGAAAATTTTTTATGAGTTTATAATATCCGTATGCTTTTTTTGTCTAGGTCATCAAGGCAAAAAAAGCATAGCGTAGGGCCCCGCGCATCCAAGCTCTCTCGTTCATTGCCATTTTACGACTATTGTCTCCTCGTAGGTTATTGAAATACTTTGATTGATTTCTTCATCATTTTAGGGGGAAATCCCTATTCGTGTGCTCTTTGATCGACTGAGCACATGATAATGACGTAGTTGGCTGACGTTTGAATCGCCTCGAGAAGAGCTTTCTGTGATAGATGAGAGTGGAATGGCATTGATGGTGGAATTTACTCGCATATTGGGCTTGGGGTGGACTTTGCTGTAATCCCGCGCCTGATTTGTGGCAGCTAGTTAATACATTGACCTGTCAAGCCAATGAGGTAAAATATATTCCATACAATACGATACAACACAATACAGTTGAACATCGATTATCCGACCACCTCTGGGCAGACAACTGTCAGGCGGCGTTCAGATAAGGCAAATGTTCCGGATAAGAAAAAACTGTCACTCACACACTTTCAGTGGTTATTACTAGCCGCAGGACCTTTTTACTTTTTACTTTTCAAAATTTTCGTATTTTTGAATGGCTCACTACATGCACAGTGCGTACTCTACGGCACGTGCGCCCAAAAAAACTGTTACGGATAATCGAATGGTCGGATAGTCGATGTGCGGATAATCGATGTTCAACTGTAATACAATAATGTCCTTGCCTTGATAGTGTTCTTGTGCTTAACTGTTGCTGACGGCCAAATGCATGGTTACCTGTGGAGCCCAATACATAACTTTATAGTCTCCTATGTTACGCATCCTTTCCGACGGCAAAAGAGGCTACGGATTTAGTTATTCTTTACGTTGTCAGCAAATGACTACTGGTCTTCAGCAACTTGGGTCTCCTGTAATACGCATCCTGTCTATGCTTTCATAATGCTAAAATAATGCTGGGGATAGCACTCGCTACTGATGTTCAGAAACTTGGCCTGACTATCACTCACAATATCACTGTTGTAATGTTGATCGTTCCCAAGCGGTCGCTGGTTTCTCCCACAATTTCATCGTACTGTTGTAGGACATGCTATACGTCATCCGTATTGATGTGTGGCGCTGTCGCCTTCATCTCTGCTGCGGGTGTACTCTAGTGACTTTGTACATGCGTTATAATAGACCAATCCCTTTGTCTGGCAAAATAATTCGGGTGGACACACCCATTCTCATAGCGTTGCACATCACATCCGAACCAGTTCCGTTAATTTTTTATAGTTCCGTTTTTTTTTAAATAACGGAACTGGTTCGGATGTGATGTTCAGCGCTATGGGAATGGGTGTGTCCACCCGAATTCTTTTCACAGATGAAGCTGCAGGAAGCCTCAGCCCTTCTTCAAACCCTTTGTCTGGGTTCGTGAAAAGGGCCACAGCGTGCAAGTCAGCTTGCGTGAAGTGCATGGTATTGTATTTAGTTGGTATGTGGCAGCTTATGGGACAGAGAGACGTTTGCTCCCAGAACTTGTGTTTATAACTACTGTAAAACCGGAAAGTCTAACGAGTCACAAAGTCTTACGTTTTAACGACCAATTGTGTTTCGTTATTTGAAAAATACATTATCGCTAGATGTCGGTGTGAAGATTCGCAAACAGAGGGGGGGGGGGGGGGGGGGGGGGGGGGCAGGTAGCCATCGTTAAACTTTCTGCACGTAATCATGCCAAAATGACAAAACCGTTAATTTTTTTGTTTGTTAGACTTTCCAGTTTTACAGTAGTGTTTGACATGGACCATGGCGGATAGGATCGAATTGAATTGGAGAACGGCTGCTCCGATCCAAACTCTAAAACCAGAAACAAATTAATGGCTACAATTCCTAACCATACCACAACGAACTGATCGGCTACATCATTGTATTGCAAAAAGTTTCCATCTGTTCGAATAACATTCATGATGAGCTAGGCAAAAAAGCAAAGCGCAGGGCCCTGAGCGAAAGAAATAAACTTTCTCTTTGCATTCGAGGGCAATACCACACCGTCTACCACCTTGATGACCTAGGCAAAAAAAGCATAGGGATGTTAAAAAAATTCATTTCTCCTATTTCTTTTTTAAAGACATAACCCAGGATTTGAACCCGCACTATAGCCCTACATGCAGTCCCCTTATACACTTCGCATACTTGTACATACTCGTTCTTCTAAGTTGCTTCACGTTATGATCTTGCATTTCAAAGCCCTGTTTGAATGTTGTGGCCAGCTGTCTTTGATGTTACTTTACGGGGCAGGTACGAGATAGCGCCAACACAAACAAACAAACACACACCTTGATGGTGCGGTACGGGACAGGTACGGGATAGCGGCAGGCATGCCGATGGCACAAACAAAAAAACACACACCTTGATAGTACGGTACGGAACAGGTACGGGATAGCGCAAGGCATGCCGACGGCACAAACAAACAAACACACAGGGAATTAAAGCTGTGTGGACCCTGGCTAGCGCTATACGTCACTGAAGTAACGTCTTTTGCATAGCTACGGGAATAAA